ATCTTCGCCTTTCTGTTTCTTAACCATATCAAAAAGCTATAATTCATTGTAAATAAATTTTCTTAAAAAGAGAAAAACATTTTTATTATAGAAATTTGTGAACATGTAATCAATAAATTCTTGAGCCTTTCGTAAAAACGAAGCATTTTTCATTGCATAGAATTGTCCGGTTTCAAGTTGTCTTGAATGGTAAGAGTATTATATATTATTTTTTCGATTTTTTCAAATTTAGTGCCGAAATTGATCTTTTGAGGCTTTCTACGTAAGCGTTCAGATTTCGCATCATATTGTCACAAAAACAGAAGCACGCGCTCTTCAGGCAGACAATAAGTTGCAGACTGAAACAAGTGTTAAATGCAACAGCAATGTTTCATGCGGCTAGGGTGGTAGTACATTCCAGTCCATTAGTTCCGAGATTTTCTGGACGGGATTTGCTATACAATACTGAGGGTCGCCCTACTGAAAGGTCAACATACAACGGCTTTTCACTTGTCTATAATCTTTTTCTTCTTTGCACTAGTTGTTGTTATTGGCTCTCTCAGCAATCGTTTCATTTGATTGGAGCATATATCATAACAGGGCTATCGCTTAGCCAAAGGGATGAGAATCTGACAAGGCTGACAAACAAGTGGTCGTGGGTTCGAATCTCAGTGCGTTGGACCATACCTTACAAGGTATTTTATATATTGTTACTTGGACTACTATTACCTTGAAATGCTTAAAGCTTAAGATATTGCAGGCAGGTAGGTATCTAGCTTACCTTTGCTGCTTGCTTTTCTGATTGATATCATAATTTAACATTTAAACTTAAGTTCGCGTATTAGTGCTTTAAAGCGAAAAAATTTGCTATTGTTCAAATTGTTTAGTTTGTAAATGGAACTGTGTTAACTTTCCTGTGCTTTTGAGTAAAAATGATCTTCTCTTGAAATACGTCATTTAAACTTGTAGCTGAAAGAGTTTTGCTTAACAAATACGAGTGAAATGTGTGCAGCCCCTAAATAAATAAATATTTTATAGGAATGATCCTAAATGAAAGGTGCCCTCATTCCTCTATTGGTTCGCTTTAACGTCGATGTTAATGGTTTCATTGATCATGGTCGCTGGTCATGGGATCGCTTCTGCCATGTGATTGTGTCAGATGTATTTTTCGTCAACTGTGCCTGTTCAGTAGCATTAAGCAAAAATTGCTTCTCTTACTCAGGAGGTTTTTGTGCACAGAGCCATATTAATTCAAAAGTTTTAAAATCTACGTTGCTTACACTTCAGCCGGATAAGCTAAAGGCAATTTCAAATCAAACGTTTTGGAGGGATAAGTTACAGTTCGAGTGACGCCACGTCTTCGAGAACCAGCAACGACTTACTTTTATTTTTACCATCTACTTGGGACATGGAGTTATTTGACAGGACTTCTTCTTCGCTTCTATATTCATCGGCAAATATGGTTACAATAACTGGAAATTGGTTTTATATCGGAAAGAAATGTTTTTTAACCAATAGGTAGCTACCAAAATGATCTATAAGACTAATAGTTGACATATCGGCTCACTATATAATTCTCTATGTTTAAAGCAGTTTCCTCTGTTTAGAGTCAAATCAAGCAAGATCGTGAATTAAAAATGTCTGGACGTTTAATGGAAATATCTATTTGCTTGTTTGGTAGACGAAAAATTATTCTTTACCTACTTCCGTCATAAATTGCTAGAAATTAAGGTTGCGAATTAACTTTTGTTGCTATATGAAGGTCCAATTTTTATGCGAAGCCTTAGTTTATTTGGGGTCCAGAAAATCAACATATCTGATCTATGGTTAGCGCAGTCAATTTATGTATCAAACAAGCTATAATCTTGGTCTAACTTTTAGTCAGAAAAGTTGAAAATTATGCTTTGCCGCCATACAGCGGCTCGCTTTCTATAGAGATGGAACTCATTCGATTCAAGTATCTTACATCAACTATTAATGAACGAATTTTGAATTATGTAAATTTTTTTCATATAAGGGCTTTTTGAAAATAAGGCATCATATGAGGAGTCGTCGTAAAAATGTCACGACTCAATCCGTGGTCAATGGGGTTCGAGTCTGGAAGCACAACCACTATAGTAGGCCATAGCTCACCATTAAACGCACTCACTTCGCTTCGGACCGTTATTAATATAGCAAGTTTTCGAAATAGCGTGTTGTATGGAAAGCGATTGGAAAAGTGGTCCGACCCGAACCATTCTAAGAAGCGTTTGTCCTTGGATCAAAATACGAGTGCAGCAAATTTCATCAAAATATCTCGAAAATTCCTACCTGTAGCCTCAGCAAAAAAAAAAAAAAACAAGACAGACGAACGGACAGACAAGCTTAGATGGAGGAGTGATTCTGAATCAAGCGGCGTAATAAAAAATGAATCTATCTTAAGTCCCTCCGCGTTTTACGTATACATACGCACAAAACTAATATACTCTTATACCACAAGTGTCGTATCTACAGCTTCAACGTAAATAAGTACAGAGTTAAATCAGATAGACAAACAAATAGACAAACTGGCTTATATGCATTCTGAAAACGATTTTGAAACGCCACAAGTGGGTTTATTTTGAGTTCGTTGTTCTAAACTATCCTGTAGGACGACGCAGTGTAGCGTATGAACATAATACATATTTAAAAATAAATTACATTTTTTTCTCTGCACAGTTAAAATTTCAAGTTATGCCAACTATTTTTGAGCTTTTATACCGTAACTGAAAGCGTTTAAATCCACTTTGTCCAGATAGATTGAGTATAATGCGGTAAAAATCAAGTTTACATTGTCACAACTAGAGCTTACTTACCACATTATTAAACATTTCCTTAATGCGCTCATCAGGATGCTTACCCTTTTTAGGACGTATTAACAAATAAATCTTTTTAAGGTCACCGCAAGATCTATTAGAAAACATAACATGGTTAACATAAAACTTAAAATGCTGTACGCCTTTGTCGCACTTACCTTAAAAGTTTCTCTACTAAGACTTTACCCATAAAGCCGGTGCCACCACTAATGAATAAGCAACGATCTTTAAAAATTTCAGCAATACGATCGATTTCCTCTCCATTTTGCTCAAGTTTTAAGATTTCATCACTTTTACCAATAAAATCGTCAATCTCTGAAGCAGCCATTGTGGTAGTAAGTCTTTTTTAGATAAATTGAGTAACAAAAAAAATTACTTAAAAATATATTCTACACAATTTTTATGCAATCGTATTATCACACACACTAAAAGAATAATTATTAATAATAATTAAACAAACGTGTTAGCTCTACCTTACCACTGTCATCTCTTTCCTAGAAATGGTAGGTAATCAATATGTATAGTAAAGTAACTACGCAATCAGGTAGGTATTATATTAAGGAAGTAAAAGTATATATAATTTGCCATATATATCCTAGAGGTGGACAACTTTTGCTTTTCTATACTTGCTTTTAAATCTGTCCGCATCGATCGGCTCCATTTTACGCAAAAAGTTCGAGAGCAGTAGAAAATCGTTGTACTAACGAAATTTTCTTAACAATATTCTTATGTGATTCCTTTCTTTGCCTTATCCTTCGAAACGCAAGTAAAAATATTTAAGTTTCCAACGCTTATGTAATTGTCTTCTTTTTCGCGTCCCAATCTAAAAGCCGTTGTGCGCTTGACGTTTGATATCGTTTCTCTTACACAAGCATATCATAACCAAAGAATTTTTTGAAATCCTGAGATGCTCAAGGGCCAGTTCTACACTTTTGCTACACATTTTCTTTACAATTTTTTACTAAGTAATATAGAAGGCCTTTCACTTCACGAATATACTTCATTTTTGTCTACTTATTTACTTCTTCTTCTTCTTCTTTTGAAGCGTCAACTCAAGTTGTCAAGATTTGCTATTTAAGCGCGGCATGCTACGCTACACTCCACGCTATCTTGTAAATTTATTGTTTAAGTTCGAACTTAGCTAATCTGGCAGAATTCTTCGCGTTGGCCCTACTTCATTACAATCGCCCGATAAGTTATTAATAGGTTTTGAAAGATTTCCAGTTAATAGCTCGAAGCGGAGCCTCAGCAGTTAAAAGAATATAATGACTGCATATGCTTAATACTGGCGATAAGTTTAATAATTTTATCATATTCTAAAGGAAGGGAACTTCTTTTCGCATTTTTGATGCGATTGGAAAAAAATTGGATCTTTCCATTGAATGCATAGCCGATTAGGAAGGTATCAAGTCAGTGCTGATCGGTTGAAATCTGTGGTGAGATGGTAGAGTTAACTTTTGCCGCAGCTATAGCAAGTGCTTAGTAAAATCATCAAAATTAGCGAGTGGACAAATACTCACTAGACTTGCGACCACACCCCATCCCTATCTCTTTTCACTCACTTATTTCTGATCTTCACCGCCTTCCAAGCATAGGGGCATTGTTTGCGAAAGCATCGATCGATGCAATCATTTCTGGTGCGAAGTAGGTTGGAAACGGTTTTCTGTTTTGACTGGGCACTCGTGGCTTGTGATTGGCTAAATTCATATAACATCGCTTGTTCGCCGTGGAATGGAAGCTAATCAAATAATCTGCATGTCCTCCGTGAGTGGGAAACGACATGTTCTCATTCCATGTGCCTTAGGTCGTCGTGGTTTTACATACTTGGAAACATCGGTAGATGATTATTAGCTTGACATTTGTCCAGACTTCTGTGATGAAAGTTCCAACCAATAACACGACATTCGTTGACATTAACCGAGACTTTTACGCAGAATTTTCGTTTTTTTTTAAAGAAAACCTTATATTCCGATCCTTAGATAATACTCACCATTTCGGCCAATAGAATAATTCGCTCATTTCAAACATTTTTCAAAAGAAATTGTATATGGAGAGCGGTCGCAAAACATTTTGAATAGAATTCGTCCTTGAGCCCGAACACCCCACGTATTAGGTTTCGTTAAAATTTGCAGCTCATGGTTTGAATACATGTAGAGATGGACAGGCATCAGAGAAATAGACTTACAGATAGACAAGCTTGAAGCAATTCAAATCTTAAGTCTTTCTAGATATTACATACATCCTTACAAACCTAATATGTATAGGGTATGTAAAGTATGAAATATGAAAGAAGTAAACCAAAATTATCTTCGCTTACAACCTATCGGCTAAGTAGGATTTTCAAAGCCCATTCAAGTCAATTAACATTAGCTATTAGAAGGAGGCAAATAACAACAAAAAATGTCAAAAGGTTCCGCATGGTTGCTTTAATAACATAATGAATGGTGCAGCTTGCAGTGAAGTCATTTTTGTTTTTTTTCTTTTTCATTTCATTTCATTTTATTTTCTTAAACTTTACGAAGCAACTGAGAGCATAAGTTTTGCATCTTTATTTCTTGTTTACGTGATTTTGAAAATTGTACCGACCATGAAACGGTAAAACTGTTGCATAAAAACACATGGCTAAATCTTCTTCGAAAATGACGTAGCAAAAGGATTCGTAAATTAGTATATTTAGTGTTTGCGGTTCCGGTTATACAAACCACAATTATATTTAACAATGAAATGAAAAAAAAAAAAAAAATGCAAAATGTTAATCGTGCCTATCTGCCTATGTGCGTATGTGCAAGCATAAGACCGATTTATGCAATTTTCAAAATATCTTTTTATTGCTCCATCGTTTGCTGTTGCAATCAAATAAGGTGAGAATTTTATTATTTGTATCCAAAATTGTAAATTTTAAGCGGTCAATGTGTTTAAACTGCGATATCCACTACTACTCAATGAAGATATGCTAATTATGACAATCTGTTTGCTTCGGAAATCCGAATATGATAGATAAACGTTTCTCGAACTCCCTTCATATCGAAGTCGAATAAATTTGGTATCGAAGGAACGTGTACCGCCAGGAAACAAGCCCAGATTGTTTACAGATTTTTTTTTTTTTTTTGGTCGCACACTTTATCAATAATAGGATCATTTTCATAACTTCACATTAAAGAAGTAAAATTACTCTGGGTCACGGCTCACTGTTACATAAATAATCTATACTATCCTATAACGATTTCCCAAAATAAGACCTTATATTGCAAGTAATTGAATTGGAAAAATTTTTTTAAACCGTTAGTCCTTGGGACAAAATACGTCATTCATTAAAAAAGGTGAGATACAAGAAAACAAGACGGACAGACGGACCGACAAGCTTAGAAAAGCAGAATCACTTTCTGAATCGATTGCTATAACAAAAGGCAGGCCTAAATCAAGTTTTTCCGAGTGTTGCATACGTTCGTACAAACTTAGTATACCCTTGTAACACAATAGGCGTAAGATATAAAAAACTAAGAGACTGATATGAAAATAATGAGAGCAAACTGAATATAATATCTGTCTCTCTCACCCCGCATCTCCCCCTCTATCTCTCTCTCTCTCTCTCTCTCTCTCGTTCTCTCTCTCTCTCTTTCTCTCTCTCAACCTCTATCTATGTCACTGTTTCTGTCCCTCTCCATCACCGATCTTTGGAGAAATGTGATAAATATTTTGTCTTGCTTACAGTTAAGCTTACGAACACAAAACCAAAGTCTCACGAAGTGTAATGTAATTTCAGCGTATATTTCCGATTCATTTGAACGCTTGTGTTGCTCGCTTTGGTAAGCCCTGTGCTTGGCCTGCTTAATGTAATTTATTGAAACTTGTCCCCTTTATATGGATAGTCGACTACTAGAGACTAAGTTTAAAAAAGTGCATGACCTACGCGGAAAGGCTAAAAGTCTTTCCACGCTAGATGCTATGCTAAATTTTTTACTCTATCTTTGTCGTCAACATACAACTACAGTTGGTAAATAAAAACTAGAAGCATTTCAGATACGAATCCACAAAATATTGCTATTGCAAAAATCCGGATGAAACTTACATTCATCAACAATCTACAGAACAAGGAAACCTGTCGCATATGTGACTTCATCGAAATCCAGAGGCGAATATTCCATCATTTTCTTCTTCCATCCGCAATCAGAGACAATTTGTTGTGGATTTTAAGCTAATGGTGTAGTCGCAGTATGTTTTTTTTTTTCTCAAAATTACCGCCACCCCGAGTGTTAGTGTGAATAGTTGCATTGTTGTTGACCAATAGTCGTCTTTGGTTTGAAATGAACGCTATGAAGGTGAATAACGTTTTTCAGGCGGGAAACAAAGCTTATGAAGCAATGTCTACGTTGCATGACATTTCTTGTTTACAAGACCCTAAATATTATCAAAAATCTACTTGATAGGTAACAGGACTAGGCCAAGTTCATAATGATTATAAGCGCTTTAGTGAAGACAAATTTCTTCTTCTTACTTATTTTTCTTTTCTATTTTTTTTTTTTTCTTTAATATCGAAAACAATGCGTGGGTAGGCATGAAGAGATTCGCTGTACGCTGAACATAATTTATATCGAGTTCTTACTCGAAAAGTTCGCAAGAAGTAAACAACAATCAGTATTAAATTAAATATTTTAACCTTTTTTTTTTGTTTTGGGAAATTCCGATATGAAGAAATAAGAAAAAAAAAAACGAACAAAAAGCCAACTTTTAAGTTTTCTTGCATTTGATTTTAAACTTGATCTCCAGTCTAAGTGTCTAGAAGAGTTTTGCGGTTTTTTTTTTCTTTCATTTTTTAAGTTTACATTGTTTCTGCTAATTATGACTTTTTTTGTGTCGATATGTTGTTTACTGGTTTTCCACTTCAATTAAATTACAAGCTCACTATCATGGAACTAGGTTAAGTTATTACATCAAAATACTTTATGTGTCTGCAAATGTTATAAGGAATACAAAAGCAACGCAAACACAGCGACTCACGCACGCTCACACCGCACAACAATACATATAAGAAAAAGTTGTTTAACATTTGAATTATATTGCAATCGAGACAAAAGCTGATTGAAGTGTAACTGGTTGCTGTTGGTGTTGCTGCTATTTTATGTTGTTGATTAACAACAATAAATATTAGGCACTTTAAGGTACGTGTTCAACCGAGTTTAACCATTTAATTCAGAGAATGTTTACAATTGTTTTATTACAACATATATACATGTATATATGAACAATAACAACAATTATATACATACATACATACATACATACATATGCATAATTGACGGTCATATATTGTTATTATTAATATTTCTTGTAAATTATCTTTACATTCACAA